TCTGTCTGCCTGTCTGTCTGCTGAGGGGAGGAGGAGGAAGGAGGCTCTAAAAGGAGGCCTCTGATTGGCCGGCGGTTGGGCCTCCACAGCAGCCAATCAGAGCAGTGGTGGGACAACAATGAACCCTGAACCGAAGTCCAGTGTGATAGCAGCCCCCCCTCTAATAAACAGAGCAGAAGTTATCGGTAGGATCGGCCTGAGGCAGCAGGACCGTATCAGGGAGGAACAGAGCTTTGAAATAAAGAGGATGTGAAAGAACGACAGGAAGACAACAGAGGAGGTCAAAGGGCGCAGAAGAGCCTTATCAGTACCAATACCTTATCAATAGGTTCTCTGGAGGGGCAGACTGTTAACTGTACAGATAACATATCAGTTCTACTGCTTGGTAATCAAGATCAATAAATGATCTGTTTTATGAAAGAGTAGAGCAAAAACTAATAATTAATAATCATTAAAGAGTTTCTGTAGTTGTAATAAACGAGTGCTGATACAATATTAATTTAGACTTTATGTTCTTCTATGAAACCTTTTTATTTCATTTAATAAGAACTTTAACTAAATAAAACTGTCTAAAACTTTTAATCAAAAATAAATATCTTTACATTTTTCCTACTAAAACATATTGAGCTTCAATAATCTGTTAATAATATAAATAATCTTAAAGATATTCAGGTTTAATTGTTCTGTCATTTTTGTGAATTAAACAAACAAACAATCTTAGATTTAGTAAATAAATTAAATGTATTTGTTGTTCTAACATTACAGTTGTTGTTTTCTGCGTGTAAATGTTTTTACTTTGAAAAACCCTCGGTCAACTTCCTCCTTGTCCTGTACTTAGATATCAGAGTAACTAACTAACAGTGGACGTGCACGATGCTTTTTTTATCTTTTAACCATCTTTAAAATGTGGTTGGTAGCTCAGCAAATATCTGAGTAACTTTACGAAGGGTAAAGTAATGTGACTTTACCCCCCCACAGAGGTGATCCCCACAGACAAGGTGGAGGTCGGCTTCAAGGACATCGACGCTGCCATCCTGGTGGGCTCCATGCCGAGGAAGGAGGGCATGGAGAGGAAGGACCTGCTGAAGGCTAACGTGGCCATCTTCAAGACCCAGGGGGCCGCTCTGGACAAGTACGCCAAGAAGACCGTGAAGGTGACGCCTCCGGGTTCGAGTGGGGGGGCAGTGGTTCTCTGACGCACAGCGATCAAAGTTCCTCTGTGTGTTTGCAGTTAGCACGAACTAAAGCAAGTAAAGAAAGTGACGTTGAACCCTGTGAGGCCCTTTAACTGCTGCCGGGTCTTTATTCTGTGAAATAATCCAAAAACTACCAAAGAAAAGTCAGTTTAGACGTAAAATATGTTCTTCTGTTGTTTATTAGTGAGTTTGGTGTATTTAAACCTCCGCTCTCTTTCTGGGAACAATGAGGAAGACGAGCAGCAGCACGAGGAGGTTCTGACTGCAGATCAGCTCTGGTTCTGTGGTTCAGCTCGGTTTAAAGCGAATCTCATCGGGCTGTAATAACAGCTCCATTTCCCTCGCTGTGATAATCTGTGGTATTGTTGTTTTTCACCTGATGGCAAACGTCAGATTCCTGCAGTGAAACATCTTTTATGTGCATTTTAACAATATAACTTTATTAAAAAAGCACAAAACAACGGATGGAAAATAAAACCAGACAATTAAAGTGAGGTGGAATAAAATGAATGTGGTTAAAACAATATTAATAACATAATGAATGAAACATGGTGGGAAATTAAAGGTTATTTTACATTATTTGACTAATAAAACTGGAGTTTCGAGCTTTTCTGAACCTTTTTAAACTTCATGTTTTCGTCGGGATCTCTTCCTCTTCCTGTTTTCTTGTCAGAACCTTTTTTAGAGCAAAATGATTTAAACCTAAACTTCATGGACGATATCTAACGCTCACTGGTTGTCAGTTGTTGGACGTTTCTCAGACTTTGTCGCTGACGGAGACGTGTTTGAGTTTCAGGTTCTGGTGGTTGGAAACCCGGCCAACACCAACTGTCTGATCGCCTCCAAGTCTGCTCCTTCCATCCCCAAAGAGAACTTCTCC